GCTCGGCCGGCCGCGGAAGCCAGCGGTTATTTTGGCCGAAGTGACGGGGTGCTTCTACGCCGCGGGCTGCCCCTCGGGGGGTGCATCTCGGAGCAGCTTTCTGAGGAGAAAGGAAGTAATTTGGAAATGGTAACGCGGGGTGGGGGGACAGAAAGCAAGCGTTGCCTGGGAAGCAGTGGCCGATGGGCGAGAAACGGCTGAATTGCGCTGTCAGTCTAGACTGATAAAGTCAAAAATTATTCTTAACTTCCTGGAGGTATTTGGCTTTCGTCCTGCCTGGGAGGATAAGAGAGATGCAGCATCGTATGCTTTGTGCTTCCAAAGCAGGTATGAAAAGCCCTGTGTTAACAATTACCGGATGAAACTGGGGAAGAGGTGCAATGGATAGAAAATTGGCTCAGGAAAGGGGATTTGGCTGCCGTGAGTGGATTTCCAGAGGTGCAGTCAGGGGTCTGCTCTGGGTTCGTTTATTTTATTTATTTTTACGGGAAGGATTTGCATGAAAAGCCCAAAGTTGGAGCATCAAAGCTCGCCGAGGTAACCAAGAAGCGGAAGGCGGGTGCATGGCGAAGGGCCGTCCCGCGAGCGCAGGGCGTCGCGGCGCACCCAGGACGGCCGGATGGAGCCGTGCAGCAGGCAAGGTTTAGGCAACGCACCGGGAAAAACGCAGTCCGCCCCTCTGCTGGCCAAAAATAAGAACCTAATTCCTGTGCTTAACATACAGGTCCCTGCCTTGCAGAAGTTTCAGGCCACAGCAAAGAAATCACTGTACACATCACTAGAAACATTTCACTTCAGTTTCTTTTGCCTCCTCATCTCAGCAACATCCCGTGATGCAAACAGCTCACTTGTGCCCTGCAAAGTTACTAATGATCCCCTAAAAAAGACCCCATAAAGGAATGCTGCACCTCCACTTTTTTGCTTGACCAATGATTGAGAGAAAAAGGGGTTAAATGAATTACGGGAGACTCAGTTACTGTTTAGGAAACGTGCATAATACAGGTATCTATAATCTTTCTAACCCTAACTCCCACCAGCCAGCTGGAAATAATGCTGTTAGGCTGGTTGGGACAGAATCCAGCTGCCTGCTCCTGGCCCCTGACGGAAGCTTTAAATATTAGGCTCGTAATGAGGAAGTCCTGCGGGAGCAACATCAGAAACCTATAGTCCGTGTCAAGTGACATCTCCAATTTAGCAGTGTGGCATGTCTCCCTTCGGGTTTTTAAGCAGTAGCCTTCAAATTGCTAGGAGCTAGAGCACTTGATTGACAAGGCTTGTAATATACCATT